TGGGATGAACAGCATACTTCAGCTCCTGGCACCACAGCCTCTCTTAATGGGTGAAAACATTTATATGTAATAACAGTAAGAGAGGAACAAGGAAGCTGATGCTCAGTAAAGAGTTTCTGTGATTCTTCCGCAAGGGCACAAATCATACTAAGAGGCTTCCAGCTTTGTACGGCAGAAGGGCCAGGGACTTCCCTGAGATGAAGCCATTTGGGATGAGACTCTTACCCGAGTCCTTGGGAGGCAGGGGCTCACAAGGATACCCCTCTATTCAGTCAGCCATCCTCCTGCTCACTGAGCAGAGTGCTTGCGAGTTCCTCAGCCTTCTCAAGCTCACAGGTTCTATCTCTTCCTGCCTGTTCTCCTTCTGTCTTGTGAGAGGGACATGAGAGAATTAGACTCACAAACCACCTTTCCGTAGAGCAAACAATAATGAGATAGACAGTAGAGATTCTAAGATTGCTCTAACTATTTGGGGCACAACAAAACATAAAACCACAACATAGCATATTCAGTGATGTCTTTCTTATTTGCTTATTTCCCAAATGTTGTATGTCAATAAAGGGACCAGCAGTGGAGAACTTGAGGCCCTCAAGGAAAAGGAAATACTCAGCAGCTCCATTCCGGTCACATGCTGAAAATGCATTCAATTTGAACCTCAGCAATCTCGTGCCGCCCTACAATCTAGGACACGAATGCATTAGCGTTTGGACTTCGGCTTGAATGGCAAACTTGATTTTTGTTGTTCATATTAAAAAAAGCTACGCCAGATGCTTGGAAAACATGAGGATTTGCCAGCTAGGGAACAGAAATATTATCATTCTACCTATTTGTAGTTTGAAGATCCAGAAAGTAATCGATCTCACTTGCAGTTGTGACTATACTGGTATCACTGAATTTTTTTTTTTTAATATTTTATCCATTTGACAGAGAGAGAGACAGCGAGAGAGGGAACACAAGCAGGGGGAGTGGGAGAGGGAGAAGCAGGCTTCCCGCGGAGCAGGGAGCCCGATGCGGGGCTCGATCCCAGGACCCCGGGATCATGACCTGAGCCCAAGGCAGACGCTCAACAACTGAGCCACCCAGGCGCCCCTCACTGAATTTTAAAGATAATAATAGCTAAGGCTTAGGTGGGTACTTACAGGTTACCGGGCATGAAGCTAAGTGTTTTCTATGTTACTGCATTTAAGTTTGTTCTCGCAGTAACTCTATGAGCTAGATATTATTAACCCATTTTGCAGATAAGGAAACCAAAACTTAGGAGAAGTTAAAGAAGTTTTCCAGGATCCATTCATTCAACAGATAATGATCGACCATCAACTCTGAGCTACTGGGGACCCATTAGTGAACAAAAGAGAAAAATCCCTTCCCTCATGTAACTCACTTTCTAATGGAGGGGATCATAGCTAATGTATTAAGTACCAGACGACATTTATATGTATTAACTCTTCGGTGGCGGGGGTGGGGGAGGTGGTAGTCTCAGGTTTGACCCCAGGCATTCTAACTACAGAGCCAGGGCTCCTGTTTCTGTATTACTGCCCAGTGCTGCCTCACCCAGGTAGGCCCCCTCAGCTGGAAGAGGTGAAACTTGGGGTTCCAGCCAGACGTGTCCTTCAGCATGGTCTCAGCCACCACTGTTTTACAGAGGAACAAACAGACCATTTGTCTTTATTTCCCCATCCCGCCCCATCTATTTCATGGCCAACAACAGAATCATGGACCTGAACTTTCTAAAATAAAGTCAGGTTCATTTTTAAGACATTTTTTTTTTTAACAGTGGTGCCAAGGGCCCCAAGTCTTCTCTTCTTTAGGCCCTGAAGCTGTGATATTTGAACTTGCTGCTGAGCGTTGGAGCTACATTCAGGTATCTGCCATACCTGAATTTTCTAGCAGTTTCTGCCTCATAGGATGGATTGAACCAGCATCTTTTTTGAAGTCAAATTCCAGTGTGTCCCAGTTAGGCCCTTGTTTTCAGCAATTCTGGGGCTTCTACTAAATGACTGCAGACAGTGTCTGGTGTTGTGATTAAAAATATCAGATTTAGGAACAAGGGTTAGACTGGATTTTTACTCAAGGACCTTTTCTGTTTACTTTTGAAATGGAATCCTCTACTTATGAGAGCATAGCAATCAAGTGGTACTGCTTAGAGTCCCCCAAACCATCTGCAGATTGGTTTTATTATACATGGGGCTCCTCTAGAGCCCTGGCAGTTCCACGTGTGAGTGCTGAAGAACAGGGTCAGAGGGAACTCTGTTCCTCTCTCCCCTTGCTTCCATGATGCACTGCACCTTTGCAGGAATAAGAGAGTGCCCAAGTGGAGGACCGCTCTCCCTCCTCCCTGCTCCCCAAGTCATCCTGCCTTCTGCCTTCCACTCTGTGAAGTTACTGAATCCCTCTTCTAACCTGACTTAGTCTTCCTGTGGTCATTCAGCAGCCACTTCCTCAGTACTTACCCTATGCCAAGCTCTTTGATCAGAGCCCCACACACTGGCCCCTTTCTGGCAGAAAGGAAGGGGGCAGACGGATGAATAAGGTTTATAGTTAATAAATCCACAGAGTTAACAAGAGTTTCCTTAACTGGACTTCTCAGATAAGTCCATTTTAGTGGACACAACACTCTACATTCTCCAGGGTAAGAATTCCCATTACCAGGAACCTCAGCTCCTGGGTCATACTCAAGTTCCAGTGGCAAAAATTCCCACAGAACAGGAAAGCAAAGGCCCCGCAACCGTCAGGGCTGGACTCCTGCTGCACAAGGTCCCCACCGGGGAGGTCTGGGTCCTGCAGCTTTTTGAGCAAAAAACTCTCTTGTAGGGGCCATCTGCCCCAAAGTCTGGGGCTATTGATGGACGGTGCTGTGCCTGAGCTGAAGGAGCATCACACGGCTTCATCCCTCGCAGATCATGTGCACCAGGGCCCTCTATTGGATTGCACACTAAATTGTTAGCGATCTATGCAGACATTATCTTTTCTATAAATCAGCCAATCCATGGCACACACCAAGAAAGTCAGGCATTTCTTAGGGTCCAATGAGGCTGCCTCCTGCTCTGATTAAAACTCACCTCTTTCAGCTCCTGTGAATTAGACAGCAGAATTAATCATTCAGTTTGCCATTATTTATCAACTACTGCTGTGAGCCTGAACACCAGGTGTGGCCCCACAGATACACAGTAAGCAAATCAGTCAGAGTACCTACTACACTCTTGGAGCTCACTAAACAGCCACTGAAGCAATCGCCCCAAAGTATGGTGGTAGGAGCTCCAACTGGGGAAGTAGAGGTTGCTTGGAAAAACTTATTCCAGGATATCCAACCCAATATAGGTGGATCAAAGAAGGGACCTAATGTAGTTGGGGGTGGGGAAGGGAGGTAAGAAGATTTCCTAGAGGAAGTGAAATCTAAGATACAATCTGAAGGATGAGTAGCTGTTGACCTAGGGGAGGGGGGCGGGAGAAGTTTGTTCCAAGAAAAGAAAACAACAGGTTTTCTACCCTGGAGGTAGAAGGAAGCTTGGCACATCTAAGAAACTGAAAGACTTTCTAGGGAGTTGATAGAAAATGTTTGGCAGAGGACAGGGAGGTGATGTTAAACAGAGAAGCAAGAAGATGAACCCGGAATGATGAGCAGAAACCAGGTGAAGTAGGCTCAGATTGGATTTCAATCTAAAGGCAATGGAAGCCATTGCAGAGTTAGAAACAGGAAAGGCAAAGTATTTCTTGAAAGAGGTGGCAGCATAGAGAATAGATTGTTGGAGAGCAAAGCAATGGATAAAAGAATAGATGAAAGAGTAATGGAGGGTGAATGGAGGCAAGGCAAAGAGACTAGTGAGAAGACTATTGCAACAATTTAGCCAGAGAAAATGGTATCCTGGCCTAGGATAGTAGCAGTGAGTTTGGAGATGAGTGGACATATTAGAGGGATATTTTAGATGTGGAATCCGTAGGACTTGGTGGTTGGTGATGTGAGGCGTTTTGAGAAGAATGCTCAGGTTTCCAGTTTGGGTAAGTGAGTAGATATTGAGTAGGGAACTGGGTAGATACTGGGATGGAGAGCATGGTTGAGGATCATGTTTGATAACCAGCTCACTGCTGAGACGTGTTGAGTTTTAGATGCCTATGAAACATCCAGGAAGAGGGGTCTGAAGTTAATAGAACTCCGCAGAGAAGACTGGACTGGGTACCTCGTTAACAGGATCATCAGCCTAGAGAAGATGGTTGAAGCTGTTGAAATGGATGCAATCATGTAGTTAAGCATGTAGAGTGGGCAGGAACAAAAGCTTATGAGCAAACAATGAGGAATTCCAACATTTAGGAGAAAGAACGAAGAATACATAGGACACTGAGAAAGAGCAGACGGAGAGAAAGAAAGAAACCCAGGAAAATGTGATAGCATGGAAAGCAATGGAAGCATGCTTTTAGAGCAGAGTGGGTTGCTGCATCACAAGGTGCTGGGTGGCCAAGTAAACAAGAACTGGAAGGAAGTTGTGGGTCATGTCAACCATTAATCTTCATTTCTGTGCTATTCAGTAAACGTTAAATTCCATATTCTTAGAGGATTTTGAGTGTTTTTCAAAATACTGTTGATTTAATTCCTTGACGTCTTCAGTTAAGATGTGAGAAGAAGTTAAGATAGGTATTAACATCTTGCGAAAGTATAACACATTTGGGGCCAAGTCTCACATTATGCGTTGCTTTGGAAAATAATGATGGATGATTCTCTGCTGTAAGAGAAGTACTGCCTTTAACTGTCTCTTTTTCTTTTGTTCCCCACCCTCCAATCTTTATTTTGTTTTCTATCTCTTAGCCTCATGAGCTGTTCTTTTAGATAAAACCTTTCCCCACAGGATTTGAAGCCTGGCCACTCTTGAAATTAGATGTGGAACTTCTTTCCCGTGTGTGATAAAGCATTTAAAAGTTAGTTCACAGCAGTCGTACATCACCTTGCTCAAAGAGTGAACGATGACTTGGAGATTTACTCACCACCCTCTTTCCCGTTTCTTTCCCAGCTCCAAGAGACTGTGAAGAGGAAGTTGGAAGGAGCTCGATCACCACTTAATGGAGACCAGCAGAATGGTGCTTGCGATGGGAGTTTTTCTCCAACGAGCAAGAGAATACGAAAGGACATTCCTACAGGAATGGAAACCCTCAATATGCCACTGCCTTCAGCTTCTCCTCTTCACCAACTTGACCTGAAGCCTTCTTTGCCCTTGCAGAATAGTGGGACTCACACTCCCGGGCTTCTAGAAGATCTAAGTAAGAATGGTAGGCTTCCAGAGATCAAACTTCCTGTCAACGGTTGCAGTGACCTGGAGGACAGCTTCACCATCCTGCAGAGCAAGGACCTCAAACAAGAGCCTCTAGATGACCCTACTTGCTTAGACACATCCGAAACGTCTCTTTCAAATCAGAACAAGCTGTTCTCAGACATTAACCTGAATGATCAGGAGTGGCAAGAATTAATCGATGAGCTGGCCAACACGGTCCCTGAGGATGACATACAGGACCTGTTCAACGAAGACTTTGAGGAGAAGAAGGAGCCCGAATTCTCGCAGCCGGCGACGGAGACCCCTCTCTCCCAGGAGAGTGCGAGTGTGAAGAGCGACCCCTCCCACTCGCCTTTTGCACACGTCTCCCTGGGATCTCCCCAGGCGAGGCCCTCCTCCTCTGGCCCTCCCTTTTCTACGGGCCCCACGGCCGCGAGTTTGCCTTCGGTGGCCAGCACTCCCGCAGCTCCAAACCCCGCCAGCTCACCAGCAAACTGTGCTGTCCAGTCCCCTCAGACTCCCGGCCAAGCGCACGCTCCAGGCCAAGCCCCAGCCCGGCCTGGAAACGGTTATCTCCTTAATCCGGCAGCAGGGCCCGTGGCCGGGGCCAGCTCCGACATGTCGCCGGCGGAGCAGCTCAAGCAGATGGCCGCGCAGCAGCAGCAGAGGGCCAAACTCATGCAACAGAAGCAGCAACAGCACCACTCCAACCAGACCTCCAGCTGGTCGCCCTTGGGGCCCCCGTCCAGCCCCTACGGAGCAGCCTTCGCTGCGGAAAAACCAAATAGCCCAATGATGTACCCCCAAGCCTTTAACAACCAAAACCCCGTAGTGCCTCCCATGGCAACCAACCTGCAGAAGACGACAATGAATAACTACCTCCCTCAGAACCACATGAGTATGATCAATCAGCAGCCAAATAACTTGGGTACCAACTCCTTAAACAAACAGCACAATATTCTCACCTACGGCAACACTAAGCCTCTGACCCATTTCAACGCGGACTTGAGTCAGAGGATGACCCCCCCGATGGCCAACCCCAACAAAAACCCGGTGATGCCCTACATCCAGCAGCCGCCGCCGCCACAGCAGCCGCCGCCGCCGCCGCCGCCGCCGCCGCCGCCGCAGCTCCAGGCCCCCAGGGCGCACCTGAGCGAGGAGCAGAAGCGCCTGCTTCTCCTGAAGCAGAAAGGCGTGCTGACGCAGCCCATGGCTTACGCCGCGCTTCCATCCCACGGGCAGGTGAGTGTGAGCGCGAGCGGTTCGCGCCGCGCTGCTGGTGCGTTTCAGACCCGCGGCGCGCCCTGCTCTCCGCGCGCCGGGGGCGGCGGGCTTTCGGTCCCTGCGTGCCGGTTCCTTCCCGTCCTGCCTCCTGGCGTTGCCAGGCGTAGGTTCTGGTTTGTGCTTCGTTTTGTATGGTTTTCCCCCTTTCTTCTAAGAGATGGAAAAGGTTGGGACGGTAGACTTTCCTGTGTTTGAACGTCGAGGAATCAAACTTCCTTTATTCCCGCCAGCAGATAAGGAACCAGAAAGTACGGTCAAGTTCGCGCTCCGAGAGAGGCAGGCCGTGGAGGTCACAGGGCAAAGCATGCTGCTCCTTCCTGGCTTCTCTCCCAGGTCACGGAGTCCTAGACTCGGGGTTACGGTAGCGGGGCCGGAGCGTTTCAGGGATCTCCGCAGCGGTTTCATAAGGCCCTGAACATCTCCGCCTATCTCACTGAACTGTGAATAATGGAAACGTGGATTCTTTTTTTTTTTTTAATTTTTTTTTTAAAGATTTTATTTATTTATTTGAGAGAGAGAGAATGAGAGAGAGCACATGAGAGGGGGGAGGGTCAGAGGGAGAAGCAGACCCCCCGTTGAGCAGGGAGCCCGATGCGGGACTCGATCCCGGGACTCCAGGATCATGACCTGAGCCGAAGGCAGTCGCTTAACCGACTGAGCCACCCAGGCGCCCGGAAACGTGGATTCTTTTTTTTTTTTTAATTTTTTTTTTTTAAGATTTTATTTATTTATTTGAGAGAGAGAGAATGAGAGAGAGCACATGAGAGGGGGGAGGGTCAGAGGGAGAAGCAGACCCCCCGTTGAGCAGGGAGCCCGATGCGGGACTCGATCCCGGGACTCCAGGATCATGACCTGAGCCGAAGGCAGTCGCCCAACCAACTGAGCCACCCAGGCGCCCGGAAACGTGGATTCTTGATGGTTGGATGTGGGAGAGTTGCCCGTAGTTTCTGAGTGGAGGGTGGCTTTCTGAAGGGCCATTCCCCATTTAAACACTGGCTGCTGAACTAGCACTTTTAGATGCTGTTTCAACGCCGCGTGACTTGGGAGTGCAATAAAACCTTCCCGATGCGTTCAGCTCTCATCCAGGAAAAGTTGATGCGGGATAGATCTTAGTGCTGGATCACAATAAATTCTCCTCTTTCCCAGTGTCTTTCTTCAGGACGTCCTGGTTTAGGGGTGTAGGGCTCTCAGTGACCTGTGGTAAAAATGAGTGGCAACCAGTTGGGGAGTGAATCCTCATTGACAAGCATTCACTGCCCCCATCCTGACCAGGAGCAGCTTCTCTACGTTGAAGGAGTGGGGAAATGCACTGTTCTACTGCCTTTCCTCCAACATGGGTGAACTCGCTAGAGCCACCCTTCCACTACCAGTTGCTATGTTGTGCCTCAGTCCTCTCAGGATTCTGACATTTGCATCGTAGTTGGGGGTTTTGCAGCAAATTCTTTGCTTTAAGGGCTCTCACAGGCAAACAGGTTCTAACTAGTACTTGGATATGTGTCCACAGTTGGATGCATTAGAAGCTCTGGGAAGATCTTGCATCACTAGGGGCTGTTTGCATCTCCCCGGATGGACGCCCCACCCCACACCCACCCTCCCGCAGCTTGATGGAGGCTTGATGGAGGTGGTGCTGGCCTGCAGAGACAGGCCTGAGCTCTATGGCTTGATTCTCGTCCTTCACAGCCTTCCAAGCCCAAAACCTCACAGTGGTTTCTTGTCTGCACATGCCGGCCAGCTCCATAGAAATTCTGTCTGGAGAAATAAAAATATAGCTTGGTTTACGCCAGCTGTAATCAGTAGCTGGTAGAAAAACATCATTGAAATGTGAGCTTTTATGTTTTTATCTTGGTTTCATTAAGAAAAAAAGGCACCACTGGAAAAGGCAACATTTTATACACTTCAGTATTAAGTTCTGAAGGAGGCCAAAATAGAGGCAACACACAGGGTTGTTTGTTGTAGCCCAGACACGTCAGAGGTTTATGAGATCACAAGCTGTCAGAATGGTCTGTTGTTAATCTTAATACAAATTGTGCTTCTACATTTGCTGTTTTTCCTTGAGCAACAGTGAAGTATTTCCTCCAAGCCAGACCAAAGATGATTAATTCCAACTCACAGGCTCTGCAGACATGTGGGTGCAATGTGAACCCATCCTCACTCCCCACCTTCACTAAATGTCTTTTGAAATTTGCTAACTTGGGATGAAGTTCTTGTCTTTGCTGGAACATGAATTTTAAAGGTACTTATTTCAGGTCCTTATGCTTGCCTAACTATGAGTAACCGAAGCCTTGAGCTACAGAGCTCATGTTTTGAAAGGATTCAGTCAAGTGTAGAAACAAAAGTGATGGTTTTCTGGATTAAATCTCTGGGATCCTCCTCTTTTCCTTCCATCTCACGAGGTACTTTCAGAGTGGACAGAGTCTGCCTTTTTGAGGCCTTATTAGAATAATCACTTCTTAACCTCAAAAAGAACCATCAAGCAAAAGCACACTTTTTAATGAAATATTAACTCACCACTGTTTGAAAAAAGCTTCAAAATACATATATAAACATGTGAATATCTTTCTGCAAACATACCATTTATTTCATGCTTTCACCTGATTGTGGAGCAGTATTTACATAGCTCTCAGAATAGTTAATTACACTATATGCGAGTACATTACACAAATACAAGCTCAAATTACAGGCAAGATATAAAATATAATTATACATAGGTGTAGTTCAAATTTGTTTTCTGCTGTTGCTAGTGAAAATTCACTTTACTCTCTGTTGGCCACAAGGACCATGATCAACACTTAGTTTTAATGAACGACTTGAATACCAAAGCCAATAATACTGAAACATTTATTTCAAGGTAATTATCTTATACAGATGTTTACTTGATTGGGATATATGCAGACAATGCCATTTCTCTCAGAAGATGCCATTTCTCACTTACCTGGATATTGTTTTTAAAGAAGGAACCAAAAACTAGAAACAAAAAAAGCTTATTTCAAAATATCAAATATGTTTTATTGAGTAATGCCACTACTCAGAATGTACATGTTATTCATTGCAATTAGAAAATTAAAGATTTATGTACAAAGATTATGTTCATGGTAATGAAACAAGCTTATGATAATGAAAAATGGGGACCAAAATAAATATTTTGGAAAAATAAATAATGTACATGAAAATCATGATATTAATAAGTGATTAATCACATGGAAATGCTCATAAGATGAACAAAATAATCAGATCATACAATAGCTTGTATGTTATAGTCCAGGTTGTGTTTTTTGATATGTGTAGAAAAATACTGAGTATCTAAAATATTAGGAGTGGAATTTTGGGTTGGTAAAATTGTGATTATTGTTTTCCTCTTATAATTTACTGAATTTTCTAAATTTTCTATCATATATGTTAATTCTACCATCAGGAAAAATACTTTTTAAACAAAGAAAATCCCCTGTTTTAAAAAAAAGCTTATGCTTCACTGATTCTTTTTTAAAAATCCTTATTTATCCACTTTGTCAGTTGGATTGAGGTGATACCATTATTGTCTATTCATTTACATATATTATTTGTAAATTCCTCCCTCCTTCTAGAGATAGTGCTAAAACGCACTCCCCACACTCCCTCTCTTTTCCTTTCTCTCTCCACATCCTGTTTTCACTTCTTCTCTTAAGTCCCATCAAACTTCAGCTAAAACAGTGACAGTGAAACTATCGATAAAATTTCCACCATTATAAGCTTTAGAATCTTCTTAGGGTTATGTTCTTGTATTATTTCTTTGATCTTTTCTTCTTTCCTTTTTCTTTTCTTTTCTTTCTTTTTTTTTTTTTTTTTTTTTTACTCTCTGGAACTTCATCATATACTGGGCCTTCTGGATTGCTCTTTAATTTTTAAAATTTGTGTTTCTGTGTTGAAATAACCAGAACGTATTTTGGTCCTGTCTCTCTATTATCTTTTCCTAATCTCATTTCTCAAAGACAGGATCTCTCTGTCTCTCTCTCTCTCCCTCCCTCCGTCTCTGCCTCTGTGTGTGTCTGTCTCTCTATTTTTGCTATTTTTTCATAGTACCTAACACTGTGTCTTCAACATAACGATGTTTAATAAATCATTAAACACGGCAATTATCAAAGTTCAAGCCAAAAATATGTTTACTTGATTATCAGCTCCAGTGGAGAGAGCATTAGCAAAAATAACACAGAGCTGTTTTTGAGATCAAATAGAAGAACCGGAAAGACAGGTCTAAAAAGAATCCTTTGATAAGAGGTGGTTATCTTGAACCAAAAGAACAACAGTGGGATTGCTGGGACAGCGAACTCAGTCTCTGTGTCTGACAAACAAAAAAACAGTGGAGCAACTATGAAAGAAGTAAACCAAAAGCAAATGACAGCCTGCTGGTCAAGGAATGTGACAGGGATACCCAAAGCCCAAAAATAATTCCTACATGGAATAGTGGAAAGCGAATAATTTCCAAAATGTGATGTTAATTTTTAGTAGTTACTATCATAGGACTAGAGAAATCATAGACTTCTGTGCTACGTTATTCTTTGCACGTGTGTTTGCTACGTGTGGCTGTATATATCACGATGAGAAGATGTACGCTCATATGTTATAGAATGTTTTCCCCTTTCAATCTTATTTTACCAAAATATGTTGGGTACCATGTGAGGTATATTATTACAAGCTTTTTAGCCATAAAATCTCCACAAAAAGAACAGAGCTCTAGTATTCACAGCCGTCTTGGAAATCTCTTTGAAGATATATTTTCCTTAACTCTAAAAACCTGGAGCCCCTTTGTTTAGTTTCCTTAAGATATATTGTTTACTTTATTCAAATAATACATGACATAGTTTCGAAAGTTAGATAGCACTGCAAGTCTTCTGAGGAGAAACAGCCGTCTACCGCTTCATCCCCTCCATTCTTAAGTTGTTTTCTCTTATTTACCTCCATCAACTGCTGGTTCTCAATTTTTC